TGATGGAACAAATGTATAACTGAAAACTACACAAATTCTAAAGATGAAATTATGGTTCTTTTCTTCCTCCTTCCCCTATTTGACATAAGGTGGGCTTGTGTTAAGTATAACATGTCACAAAAAAACTCGTCATTTTATGAAGGACTGATGCTGAAAATGCATTATGGCACATATAAGTGCAGTACCTGAAGTCAAATTGGATGTGAATCCTGGTTCTGCCATGTGAGGGGTAATCCTTCACACATCACTTAATCTCTCTTTGCTTCAGTTATAGTCATCAGTAAAATGGGGGCTATGATACTTGCCATCTAGCTACCTACCTCCGAGAGTTTTTGTGAGGTTTCAATAAATAAATACACATAAAGCACTTAAAACAAAAGATAAATACAGGGAATGTTTATGTGCTTGCTATTATCTGTAAATCTTTAGAAGTAAATGTGAAATTTTTGACTCTTCCTCCTCTAGAATTACCAAATTATAGGAAAATTGTTGCTACTTCTAGAATGCAGAGTGATTGGAAAACAATTCTATTTTGTTTTAAAGCTCAAAGCACTGGTAGTGTAATTATCATAAAAGGAGACATAATTAGCCTTTAACCAAGACTAAATTAAGCAGAATTATTTTTATACCTCCTCTTTTGAAAAGGAAGCAAATCATAAAGAAGTAATTTATTAGTAGTAATACCCTCCAAAAGCTATATTGAGTATCATTATTTGCCTGTGTCACTGTGTAGTTAGTACAATTTCCTTTAAATATTTAGAATTCTGGACAGTTAGGAGACAACTAGCATTTAGTTGGATCCCTGCCTTTTTGTGCATATTGTACAGGTATATTGTACTAGAGTTTCTTACTTTTTAAGGCAGTGTAACTTTTTCATCATATCAGTCACATTATCAATTGATTAATTACATTAATTTAGTAGGGACTAATAATTCTATTTGTTCTGCCCCAAAATATGGTGTATCTGACCGACTGCAAGGGAAAATTGGAAAGAAGGAAATTTACTGACCTCTAAATCTTAAAAATGTATTTCTTATGGACTATAAATTGACATTTGGGTGTTTTAATATTATATATATATATATATATATATATATAATTTACATTTACTCATATGCCATCAACAATCCTGTGTGCTCTTCCCTACCCAGTGTTTGGGTGTTTTTAATTACTTTTAATGGAATATTTTAAAATAATCACTTTATGAAGTCATAAAAAAGGTACACAGTACAAGCTCAAAAACTTTATGGTTTTTTTAGTTGAAGGAGATTAAGTAAATAATTCAGAAATGTGTTCTGTTTACCTGTTAATAATTAAGCAGGTTAGACTGTGTACTTTTTATAGTCATTGAGTTTTAATTTATTTATTTGTTGGTATGTTGGTTTTTAAGAATTTATTTGAGGCATTCTGCTTAGTGGGAAATAAAAATAAACACACAAAAGCTGCATGCAAAAAGGAAAGGGCTTAGGTTACTTTTTAAAAGATATGTGAGAAAAAAATAAATTGATTGGATTTTAGGGTTAAAAGCAATATTTAGTACATAGTCACTCTGAACTTTCCCTTTTTGTTTGTAAGGGAAACTGATATGTCAAATGGCAAGTATAATCGAGTCAAGCGAATGGGCAACTTGTTATTGCCCTGTTTGGATTCAAATTACCTTAAGGTGGTAACCAATTCACTTGTATGGATCCTTGGAGAAATCTGCCATAGAATTTAATCAACTTTTTTTGGTATTTAAAAAATACTGGAAATACCCACAGCCTCCCCACATGAGAAAGCACCACTTGGATGAACTAGCAACCTGTTCAGTCTTAGAACAAACACATCTTCCTCTTTTTATTTTTGAAAGATGTATTTATTTATGCATACAGAGCTGGGGTACAGGCCAGAGGGGCAGTGAGAGGATTTACCACAGTCAGAGAGGAGAACAGAAAAGGTAGACTGAGGGAGTACACTGCTGAAGGGAGCAGCTGGCGAGATAGGAGAGGTTTGCTGCACCATGTGGTTCACCACCGGGCCGGGGATCGAAACAGGTACTTAGGCGGCTGACGCCATCTTCTCAGTGCAGCCGCTTTACCTGCTGTGCCACTTCTTTCTGCTGTACTTTAAGGGCAATAAATTTGTTTACTTTTGCCATTTTTGATGAGATAGAAACAAATTTTATACTTAAATTTGTATGTAATGAAGACTTGTTTTCTGTAATTGATTGAGAATAGCTTTCAGCAGTTACTACTCATTATGTCCTAAGATGTTACTTGCTTCCTTTTGAGTTTTACGTATTTACAGTAGTATTTCTCCTGCTTCCAAAACTGATTTGGTGCAGATACATCTGTTTTATTGTCATACATGTTTGTCTTCTTGTACCATCCTGTTACTGCAATTGATGTTTTTTATGTTTTCTTTTATAATAGTATAGTTATTGTATAACCAGTTCCCCAAGGTTCTTGTTGTCTTTCTTTGCATGTTTAGCTGAGGATGTGAGCAATTAAAATTTGACTTGTAAAATATATTAGACATCCTTGTAGGTGGTTGCTGGATTTTGTTTTGTTGTTGATTTTCAAGTATTCCGATCTTTTTTTCATTATTGCTTTCTTTGTTCCCACCTTCACACCATCTCTTTCTTGTCTTCCTTCTTTAGCCTATGTGTTAACAGAGGTGGTCTTCAAAAATAGGGATAGAGACATTAATATGCCTTTCCTTAGCTTCAGTAAATTTAACAATATATCATTTAATTATGTTTTCCTGCGACAAAGACTAGGTGTCTTAGTTTAGTATTTTTATGTTTATGAAAAGTAGTTTGTGTTTGTTGTAGAAATTTTTTAAAGAAATCACAAGGAGAAAAATAACTGCCATAATTTTAATTTATAAAATAAGTACTAGCAACGATACAATATAGGTCCTTGCATGCTCATTCTAATGTCTCCATATTTTTCTAACACATATATACAGATCAATATTTATATATGTATATGATCAAACATTTTTCATAGTTGATTTATAAATTATATGTACAAAAATTAGTAAAAATTGTTACATTATTTTTGACATCTAAGCTATTATATTTTCATCTGTAATATTTTATGAAATCTTATCTGCTGTATATATAATTTATTTACTCTGTTTACTGCTATGAAATATGTTATTTTAATTGATCACGATTTCAAATTAATATTTCATGTATAATTTAGTTTGTGTTTCTTCTATTGTGACTACTGAAAAAAGAAACATTTACTTTTTCATAAAGACTTAAAATTATTAATATTACCTATAGTAATATATTTACCTTTACTGTTGGTCTTAATTCTGCTTAAGGCAATGCTTTAAAATTTTGTTAATTCATAAAATTTGTATTACATACTACTATATATACCCCCAAAATTCTTCACATCTTTTGGGTTCAGAAAATTGATCATCTTTTCTTACTGCTGTTTGATAGCTTTATTAATTTTCAGATATGTTGATATGATGTATATTGTGCTATCTGCTAAAAGATGGGAAATAAAATGTTTTCCCTCAGGTTCTTGGTCAATGTTCTCAACACTGTGGCAAAGTATCAATACTATTTACACCATACTGATGTCCCTATGATCTGTTCTACTGATTTGTCTCCATTGTCCACTTTATACTGTCACTTATACTTCAGTCTTTGGCAAAATGTAACCTGTTGTGTATTCAGTTACTAAGAATACATTAGTTTACCTAGCTAAAACAAATTTACTATATATCTTTTATATTTCTGAATAACTAAGAAACATTTTGGAAGATGCATATGTTATAGATGTTTTACGTGTAAGTGATTTTCAAGTTTTTTTTTGGAAGAAACAATACATTCTGAAAGTATTTAGCTGTTATAGATTTTTTTGAAAAAAAAAAAAGGACCAAAACTTAACAGCTGACATTTTTTCTAATAACTTATTTTTTATTATAAAAATAATGAATGACTTTACAGTATGAGAACTCCTAAAGATAATTTTAGTTCTGTTTAGTTCAACAAAGATTTTTTTGAGTGTTTGCTGTATGCCAGCCCCTGTCCTTATATGAAGAACATACAAAGATCTGGCAGTAAAGTCAGATTATTTTGTGAAGGAAGACAGAGCATGTTAATGGTCAAGATAGTGGCCTAAGATTAATAACTTAAGTTTTTTTCTGATTTTCTTACTATTTGATCTATGACTTCTTGGCTCAGCCATTTTATATATTTTGCCTTTTTTGTTTCTTTCTAGTTCAGAAAAGATTAATTATTAAGTGACATTGACTTAGCAGAGTTAGATTGACTCAGGCATATGGAATATGGTGACATTTTCATATTCATGTAGTCTGTTCACTTTTTCTAATTAATGAACTGATAATTATGTCCTCCTATTTTTCACTTCTGTAAATGTTTATTGAATTCTTGCTAGTCAGTATTTAAGGAGTTGAAGGGAAAATAAAATGTTTAACAATTTATCATTTAGTACGGGAATTCACCATTTATAAAAATAGAATATAACAAAACATTAGTAATTGAGAGTACATACTTTTTGCTCTGCAATAGCCATTGTTCTATACAAGGTAATCTTTCTTATCTCATTTAATCCTTAGAAGGGCCTATATTGTCTCCAGATAATTTTTGATTCTCTTGTTTCACTCAAGTTTTTTTCTTTTTTGCTAACTCCACTGAGCAGCTTTTTCCTCCAAATCTATCTAAAATATCAATCCTCTATCAATGTCATTGCCTTCTTTTTTTATATACTAATAACAATTTAAAAAAATTCCCTGTTCTCCATCTAAACTTCTCCCATACAGTGGTTTATATTTTATATTTATTGTACTGAGTAATTGCATGGCACATACATCAATGGATGTGTTGGGTTTTATTTTTCCTTTAATTACTATAAATGTCTGTTGACATATACAAATTCAGCTACCTATCTCTCATGATTATCATAAATGTGTTATGAAATACAGATTTTTTTCCCCCCTTGGCAGATTTCTAACTTTGTCTATTTTTTTTTTGATAGTCATATAAAAAGAAGTAATAAGAATTGTCCTGTGAGGCTTTGAAGACTGAAGGTAATGTCCAATAATACTTTCTTGAATAGATTTTATCATCTTGAAAATTTTGTAATAGCCAAGGTTTTGGTTGTGGTATCAGATAATTCAGTTACTGCCTTTCAGCACATTAAATATATTTTCTTTGTCCACCTAATAAATAATCTGAACTAACAAATTGAAAGAAAAGAAAACTTCTGTAATCTCAGAATATTTCAACCTAACTGGATGTTGTTATACCCTTCTGTTCTCTATCTGGAGATATATTGTAGCCTATCTCTCTTTTTTTTTTTAATCAGTCTGAAACTCTGTTTTCTATCTTGTCCTTTTCTTAAATAGACATACTAGTTCATAGCCAAAAAGTCAGTATTTATCCATCCTCAGGCAGAGCTGTGCAGCTAACTATAAGAAATAAAAATACATTTGTTGGGGATGATGAAAACTGGTCATATGAGATTTAGTTGCTTCTCATTGTCAGTAGTCCAGAATTTCAGGCAAGAAGTTTACAATAGACTTGTGTTGCTGCATTGTGTATAAAGAGCTCATAGGGACTGAAGAAGGTTTCTTAGACAAGAGGGGGCTGTAATTACTTTGCTTCTTACATGCATGGTTAGATCTTCCAGGAGAATAACATGGTAGGGTAATTTATTATAGAAGAGTAAATCACAGATTACATTGGAGGGGGATGGGTGGTGTGATCTAACCATCAGTTTTGTGAATACATACACTTAAGCATGTGTGATAGCTTGTTTTTAATTTCTTTACACCAGTGCACACCTCAAACATTCCGTTTAGCAGTGGGATATGCAAATTATTCCAAATGCAGCAGCAGTACTTTCACCTGAATGTCAAAACTGTCAGAGAGCTTTAAATCAAATCTTTATAACATTAAAAAAAAAAAAAAAGCCAGCCCCAAGATTGAGGCACCATCACTGAAAAAACTTGATTCCTGTACTTTCAAACAGCTCCTGTATGTCAACAGGGTAATGTCAAAGTTCTAATTCACCTGCTTTCTAATTTTAACCTTTTAAGGATTTTATTTTATTTGGCTTAATTACAATATTTTCTACAAATTAATGATAAATGCCTTGATTAATAAAACCAAATGTCAGAGAAAATGACAACTTGATGAAAAATTAATACTCGGCAATATTTTTAAAGTACAGAAGTACTAGAGATATACTCTTTAATCTCATACTTCATCAGCTCTTTTGGAAGGTAGGTAGCTAGAATTCTCCTTACACCTAAGTTTTCAGGGTCATGTGTAGATGCATTTTAGCGATATAATTTTCAGCTGTTATTTTTACTACTAGCTGTTAGAAATATAGTTTTAATAATTCTTTGTCCCATAATATTCACAAAATTAAGGTAAACTCTATTTGTGCTTGGTTATATAGATGAAGCTACCTACATACTAAGAATTCAGATTGCAGCTGTGTTTGTGAGGGTGTGGGGGTGAGTGGGGATAATGTGTGTTGTAAGAGATCTCAGGAAGGAAAATGTAGTAGTAATTGGTGATTGGATGTATGCTGGTCTGTTAATTCATTTGGTAATGAACATTTCAGCTGTTATTAAAAATTATTCAGTAAAAACAATATATGCTATAGAGAACAAAGCCTTTCACAGAGAAATAGATTTTGAATGGGATTTGCTATTTTAAAATATATATTTTTCCAGAAATTACATTAAGAGACCTGAATACCAATAAAGTGTTTTAACTTGTATTTCCCCCACTGAAAACAGTTGATTAAATAAAAACCTGAATAATAACATATGACTTTTATTTTTCTTCTTTTACTACTGGAAATACTAGCATTGAAAGATTAAAAAACATCCATGTATTTCCATTCACACAAAAATCAGAATGATTTTTTAATTATGAATACTTAAATATTCAATGAAATGTTATGCAGAAGTGTTACTGTGAAGGATTATAGTTGTTGTTTTTTCCAGTTTTTAAAATTTCTTCTCTTTTATCAATATTAAGGATGAGGAAGTAACACTTTTGTGTTCAAAACAAAACTCCCTATTTTTTGAAAGATTTATTTATTTGTGCATACAAAACTGGGGTACAGGCCAGAGGAGCAGGGGCAGTGAGAGGATTCACCAGAGACAGAGTGGGGAGCAGAACAGGCCGATCTACAAAGTATACTACTAAGGGGAGCAGGGGGTGGTCAGGAGAGGTCTGCCGCTCTATGTGGGTCACCTCCAGGGTGGGGATTGAACTCATGCTGAAATGGCTTTAGCTTCTTAGTGCCATGCTTTAACCTGCTGTGCCATCAGGGAGGACCTTTTTTCTTTTTTCTTTTTTTTTAAAGGATTTTATTTCTTTATTTGTTTGTTGTTTATGCCTCCAAATTTCACAGATAAAGCTGCCAACTAAATGAGGTAACACACAATGACCTCATCTGTGTTGTACTTTTGTTTGCTTTGGTTATTCAGAAGGGCCACATAATACTCTGGCAGTGATGGATGCACTTTGACCATCTGTTTGTGTAACATCATGGTGGCCATACTTATCAATAGAAATTTTTGCCAAATAATGTTAAAATTCCTTTTTCTCTCTATCATACCAGTAGTTTCTAGGTATGTATGTGTATGTGTGTGTGTGTATTACTATATTATATACAGTATTACTACATATATATATATAGACATATACATACACACACACATATATATAGTACCTATATATATATTATTACTACATATATATATATAGTAATACTTATAAAAATGTGTGATGTAAACACAATTTTCTTTGTTCTTTTTTGGACATGTGTGTGAAGAATTTTTGTCTTCCTGTCACATTCTTCATATATATATGCATAGTAACATGCCTCCTATGTGTAGCAGGCATGTTACTATGCATAATATGACGATTAAAGGCAATTTGTGGTCAATATCTGTAAGTATAATTTATATCCACCTTAAGGGAAACCATTCTTCCATAGAGCTTTCTAGTACTGTTTAAATTTGTCGGTAGATTGTGTCAAAACTTCCCTTTAGTGATCTCTAAGTTTTATTGTCTTTGTGTCTTGCCTAGTTCCAGGCATCCTTTCTGTACTGGCAAAGCTGTTTGATGAGGAGAGGCCACCAGCATTGATGCCCTGATTGCTTATATACCTACCATGAATAATAGATCTGTCATCTAGTTAATCATTGCAGTGCAACTGTCTGTGTTCTCTCTTGCTGATCCCTGCCCAGAGGAGTTTAAATTTACTTGTAACAAAACTTCAAGTATGTTTCTATACCTGCATTTATTTGTATCCAAAAGCATCCATTCTTTTTTTCACATAGCAGTAAATAAGACATGGCTCACTATTTCGACAGTTCTCAAATTACATATTAAACATGTGCTTTTTCATGTTTTGTTTATGTTATTCAACATTCCATCAGTTTACTTCCTACTTTTGGTGTAGGAGAGGAACGGTGGCCACACCTGAAGGGAGAAATCCTCTGCTATCAAAATATTCAAAAGGATGCAAAACACTGTCTACAATAAGGTTATACTGAAAAAAAAATGAAGAAAGCAAACTTATTTCTTTTCCTATGATTCATTTTTACTTGTAAAGATATATAAGCATTTTGTTTCCCAGTTAATTCCGTCATTTTCTTGTATTTTAACTTATCTTGTAGCTGTATGATGCTTGGAAATTGTTTTAAAGCTTTTTGGTTTAAAATAAGCTATATGGATGGGTCAGTGAGTTACTGGAAAAATTACTAAATGCATGTTTTTTCTCATGACAATCACATAAATAATGCTAGAGAACATTTGCCACAACAATCCTCCTGCCTTTCTTGTCTTTATCCCTTCTTTCCAGCCTCCAGCAAATATTTATTGAATGTCTGCTCTATGTGTAAAACTTCTACATGTTAGATGTAATGCTGAGCAAAAGCAAAATTGTTCTTACCCTTAGGAGTTACAGTCTAATAGGAAGATATAATAAACAAATATCACAAATATAGTAATATAATTTGGGATTTATTTTGCTGGATGGATCAATTCTGTCATGGGCTTGAGATTTAGTCCAGAGTGAGTGGGGAAATTGTCTTTAAAGAAATCCTTTCTTTAAAGGATTTCGTTGTTTTTGTTTTTATTTTTAAAGATTTATTTATTTATGCATACAGAACTGGGGTACAGGCCAGAGGTGCAGGGGCAGTGAGAGGATTCACCAGAGTTAGAGTGGAGAGCAGAACAGGCAGATTGATGAAGTACATTGCTGAGGGGAGCAGTGGGTGAGTCAGGAGAAGTCTGCTGTGCCTTGTGGATCACCTCCGGGGCCTGGGACCGAATTGAAGCAGCTGTAGCTAGTTTGCAGTGCTGTGTCCTAATCCATTGCACTACCAGGGAGGGACCCTGTCTTTTTCTTGATAGTAAATTCCCTCTAGATTTAACAAAATGTAAGTAGGGCAAATTATTGCCAGTTATGGTTTAAGGGGCAAGAGGCCTTGGGATGAAGGCAGGTAAAGCAATATTTGCGTTAGAAGTGAATGATAAAGGAGACAGAAAACCTACTAATGACCTCCATAGTTCAAATCTTTGATTGAAAAATCATGGATATGGCCTTCCCTGGTGGCGCAGGGTGTTAAAGTGCAGCACTCAGAAGCTAAAGCCACTTCCACATGAGTTCGATTCCTGCCTGCCCTCGAGGTGACCATATGGTGTGGCAGACCTCTCCTGATGCGCCCGCTGCTTCCTCTATCAGCCTTTTCTGCTCCCCACTTTGTCTCTGGTGAAGCCTCTCGCTGCCCCTGAGCCTCTGGCCTGTACCCCAGTTCTGTATATGCAAATAAATAAATCTTTAAAAAAAAAAAGAAAGAAAAATCACAGATATTTCTAATATTTTAAAATATTTTTTTCTTTATAAAAATGATTTTCTTGTTTCTTTGGACATATGTGTGAAGAATTTTTGTCTTCCTTTCACATTCTTCATTATGCTCCTTTTGCATGATGGTATTTGGCCTTCTAGCTTTGCATGCACATTCAAAAGCATTCTAAGTCATTATGCTGGGCATCA